GGCTGCCTCCTGACTCTGCTGCATTCCAGCTCTGTGACTGTGTCCCTCCTTCTTCTGCAAAAATTAGAATCATAATAGTACCTACCTTATAGAGTTGTTTCTGACTATGAAATGAATTCCCCCAGACCACTGAGAACGGTGTGCCCAGTGCGTGGAAAGCACAGGTGTTGACTATCAGTCCGGCCCACAGGTTGGCAGCCATTACTGCCGTCAGCCTTCACAATGATTCTGAGAAGTGGGTGTTGTTACTGGCCACATCCTACAGGGGAGAAAAGGCAGGTACAGGGAGGCTAAGTAACTTCTTCAAGGCTCTGCTGGCTATGCAGACATAGGTATCTTGGGACACAACCGGGTCTGTCCAAGAGCACACATTCTTTACCCAGACTAACCAATGAACTAACACAGTGGAAGGACTACAGATGGGATTTATCTTCCTGAGTGTGTTGGTTTATCTAAAACACAGACCCCCACAACAATGCATCTGACAAACAAGGCAGGGAAGGACATGGCTCAGGAATGAGATGCCAGCAAGGACATACCATCCATGCTATCATGTATGGGGAAATTTTATTAAAACATGTGCCATAATAGATGGAAGGTGAGTCCGTGCAGAGAAAAACATTTTCAGATAGGCCTCTACTTAGAAGTTTGCAATTTCAAGTGACTCAGATGTCCAAACAGCTGATGCTACTAGTCTCCAGCCCCTGCTGTTATTAATGCAAGAAGCAAATCTAGCCCGTTGCTACCCCCGTGCTCCATGCGGGCACACGCGTGCACACACATCTCACTGCCACCCTTCTCCAAAGCCCCAATTCCACTTATCATCTCAGGAGCCACTGTAACCAAAGCCCATCTCCCATCCACACAGGAGCTAAGCTAATTGTAAAAACACAGGATGTTGGCCCGCCAGTGAGTACAACTGTGATCCCGTTTACTTAGTACCGTCAAATACAATAGAGCCAAGCCCCCTGAGGCAGACTAGCAGGAAGCTGTCTTTCCCAGCAATTTCATTCCCAAAACAGGTCCAGGAGTTCTAACCGCTTTATCCCTTGAGGCCCAAAGGTTGCCGACCTTTCTAAGTGCCTGCACCTTCTTCTTGATGCCCTGGGGGTTGGGCTTAAAATCTATGCCCTACCTGCAGCTCTCCAGCCCCTCTGCTCTGTGGGCTCCTACTGTCAGTGATTCTTTTGCTCTATTGTCTACTTTGTCACTATCCTCCCAACTTGAACCTGCGATGTAGCCATGGAGCGGACAACCACCTCTAAATCACCCACCGCCCCACATTTCTGCAAACCCTTTCCTCTGCTTATGTCTGGTTCTGTCACAGAAGGGTCACTCTCCTGACCCCCAATGTTTTATCTGCTAAGTTCAATTCAATCAGCATAGACTGATGCCCCTCTGAGCCGGGTGCTTAGTGCTGGGAATGCAGTGATGAAAAAACAAGTGTCCGTGTTCCTTGCCCTTAGGAACTTACATTCTGGTAAGGAAGAAAACCCCAGAAGCAGATCACTTCAAAATAACGTGGCAACGATCTACAAAGATGTGCCCAGGTTAAATGAGAACACAACCCATCCTGGTAGTTCAGGAAGACTCTGAGAAGGAATTTATGTCTTTTGACATATGTGACAGCTGGTTAGCCAGATAAAGAAGAAGAGGAAGAGAGTCCAGGTAGAGAGCCTAGGCAAGATGGTAGATACAGGAAAGAGACAAGCAGCTCAGGGATGCTGCTTTTTCAAGTGTGAAGCAGAGTGAGCATCAGTAAAGAAAAGGTTGATGGGAATAATAGCACGGGAGGTTTTGTAGCACCATGTTAAGAAGCTTGGATTTAACTCTGTAATGCATGGTTTCTTAAGCTTTTTACATCACAGGCTAGGCTAAACTTAATGCATTCCATGATCCTGTTCTACCAAAAAAAAAAAAGTCTATGTGCACACATGTACACATATACACATGTATACACATAAAAGGTTGCTCACGATTTTAGCCCCCCAACACTGCCAGAAGTCAATCTACATTTAAAACCCTATAGATGGAAGTAGGGTAAACTGGGGTGGTAAGGGGGATCACTTGTACTATTTTCAGCAGAGAATTACATGATCACATGTTAGTTTACATACATTACACGGAGGTATCATGACGCAACTCTGGAGTAAAGGAGTGTTGTATAAAGATGTTCTGTGTTCTAGGAAGAAATAACAGGGCTGTGAGCTCAGGCACTGGTGATAAGGCTTGTGAAGAAGCTAGAAAATCATGAGTCATTGAAGTTGAGTCTTGAGGACGGAGTCAGAGGGACCTTCAGATTTCCAGCTTGAGAAACTGAATGCACAAAATGAAATAGAAGGCTAGTGGAGAGGAGGAAAGGCAATGAGTTTATTTTGGGACATTCTGAATTTGAAATGTCTTTGAAACAGCCGGTGAAGAATTAGGCAATTGAATTTACTAGGATGAAGTCCTGAGGAGAGGTCCAGCAGGGGTCATATGAGAGCCTACCAACTTGATTTTCATTGCATTAAAGTACAATATAAATACCAATTTCTAAAAATTCAGAACAAAGAATGTTTTAATTTTACCTTTTTCTTTGACCTTAACATAATTTCCCCTAGAACAAAACTTTCATTTTTGTTTGTTTGTTTGAGAGGGGGTGGGAGGAGGGAGAGGGGCAGAGGGAGAGAAAATCCCGAGCAGACTCCCTGTGAGCGTGGAGCCTAATGTGGGCTTGATCTTTCAACCCTGAGATCAGAACCTGAGCTGAAATCAAGAGCCTGATGCTTAATGATTGAGCCATGCAGGCACCCCCAGAGCAAGATTTTGAAGAAATAACAAAAGATCCTACATTTACTATCACAGTTTTTCCCTATTAGAGTCAAAGGAGCTGCGGGACCACTCTAATATCATCAAGAAATCTAGCTAAAACCCCCAAACCCCCTTCTCACTGAAGTGCCTGTCTTCACTTTCCCCTTACACTCATAGACCTACATAAATCCACGTTAAAATCTAATGGATATAAAAGGCAGCCAAAAAAATTCAATCTTAGATCCTGGTTGATGTTTTCATAGGAAAAATTCTTTTATAGTCAGTTTTATGAAATATAGACTAAAATCATTTTATTGTGCCAAGATGTTAGTAAAATTAATTTATTGCTGGGAATTTGTAAGCTATCATACCCGGACACGGAATTGAACATGGAGCCTTCTAAATGATTTCCCCCACAATCCATTCTCCACAAAGGGAGCCAGAGTAATTTTGTAAATGTAAATCAGAGCGGAACTCTATCTCTGACTTAAAACCATCCATTGGGTTCCCATTGCTATTCAAATAAAACCTAACCCCCCTGCCCAGCTTGTTGAGCCCCACTCTAATTACATCCCACTACCCTTTCAAGCCCTCTGTGATTCCTTTTTTAAGCCCCGCTTTTTCCTGACTAGAACTATTGTGTTTTCATCTTCCTGGAAGTATCTGCCCTCCATTTCATAAAGCTGGCTCCTTTTCATCTTATCTTTGAGATACCCCCTCAAACTCTACTCCTGACAGAGGTCTTCCCTGACCACCACGTCTAACCTTCAACTACCTGCTGCACTCTCGGTCACATTACTCTTTTATTGTCCACGTGTCACTGGTCATGTGTTTTTGTTTTGTATGCTTGTTTCGTTTTTGAGTACTTTACTGTATACTGGAACCATAAAGGCAGTCACTTCATTTGAATTGTTCCGCAGTACATAATTATAATAAGTCGTTAATATTTGTGGAATGAATGAACTAATTGAACTGACAGTTTCCATAAAATTAGTAAAACAAATAAGCAACCAAAAAGCACTCTGAACCATGTTGCCCATTTCTGCAGTTGGCACTGGTAAATGAATACCTTTCAGTAGTTCCCCGCCTGCTGAAGAAGACAATAGGCAATTGTAATCCAGCGTGATAAATGCTAATGAGGAAGTAAAATAGAAGGTCCTTTAGGATCACAAAAGAGAGGAACCTAATCTTGTCTTAGAGTATGTCCGGAGGAATCGTGGGCAAAGTTAAATCGAAAGATGAGTGAAGAAAAGTGGGGGGTGGGAGGGGTGGAGAAATGGTGGAAGGGATGTGGTAAATGTCTAGATAGAAGGAACAGCAGGAGCAAAACCCTGTGGCAAAAGATGGGAACCTGAGACATTTTAAGTACTTCTCTGTTCCTGGAACATCCTCCCAAAGTAACTGTAGGGTACGATGACATAATAATGTACGCGAACGTGTTATGAATGGTAGCTTGCTATGTAAGTATGATTAATAAGCTCAGACTTGGACGTAATGATCACTTATTACCCGATCGTTCCTGGTATTCAAAGAAAAAGGAACGCATTTCAGAGAAGGACTTCTGAACGAAAGATCCTGGGACTTCACCTACCCTCCTCACTAGTTGGGTACAGTCTATGTTGATGGACTGAGTTGGCTTGGCGGGGTGGGGGGGGGGGGGGTTGCTTTGACAACGGGTCCCACGGCCTGTCAAAGTGAAACGGTTGGACGATTGGCTGCGAAGGTTTCCAGAGGCCTGCCCCCCGTCGCTGATTGGATGAAGGGCGACCAAGCTCCGCTGCTTTCCCGCAGGGTCCTGTTGCTTGGCAACCGATTTGCGACCTCCAGCAGGGCGGGCACCCAGTAACACCTTCACACCTGTGAAGCGTAGACTACACCGACTAACGACCCCCTCCGCTGCCTCCGCTTCGACCTCTCGTGCCCGCTTCACGCACGAACAACACGGGTTGTCCCAGGTGCTCCTCCGAGTGCCGGTTTTCCTTCTGGAAGTCTTAGCTGGGAGGAGTCAGAGGAGGAAAGAAAGTCTCTATTGTAAATCCAACTTAGAGCCGCTTACCTTGGGAGGATAGCGTTCTGGGGCTCTAGAAAAGAAGTAGATGAGGTGAGTTTGCTCACCTAACTCGGTGTGGAAGAGAGACCTATAAACTCAGACATCTGTCCCAGAGTAGACGCTTGGGGACAAGTGCCAGACCCTTTGCAGCCTTATCATGTACAGCAGAGCTTACTTACTGCTGGAAAGAGACTTCCAGGAGCTGAAGGAGAACAACTTTAAGGTGAGTACTGGGAACTTGGAGGGATGTGTCTCGTTGGGGTACGAATTTTTAAAAGCATTTCAATCCGTGTTTACTCTATAAGGCATAATTTAGTTAAGCCTCATTTACCACTACAGTTTTGTTATTTAATGAATTGATTGCACCATAATAATCATCTTATAAAAATAAGAATTACTATGATTTCATAGTAATAAGAGTTAAAAATATCGAGCATACTGTGCTGAGTAATGTATGTGTATTTAAGCCCTGACTATCAGGTAGTGATGGGTAGGTGCGGGGTAGTTCTCATTAATTACAACATTATTAAATAAGTAGTGTGGTGTTTGTCCTACCAGAAACTTAAGCCCCAGAAAGGTTCAGTAAATATTTGGCCCCAAGCTTCCATCACAAGCTTTTTTTTTTTTTTTTTAAGATTTTATTTATTTATTTGACAGAGAAATCACAAGTAGGCAGAGAGGCAGGCAGGGGGAGGGGAGAAGCAGGTCCCCTGCTGAGCAGAGAGCCCCATGAGGGGCTTGATCCCAGCACCTGAGATCATGGCTTAACCCACTGAGCCACCTAGGTGCCCCATCATAGGCTTTTCTGATTCCAGACCCCTTGCTCTTAAGTCTTAAGTTCTACTACTTACTGTCTACTGCACTTTTCGCCAAATGCTATCATATATAATACAGAAGTGCCTTTCCCTTCTAACTTTGACACAGAGGAAGGCTTTGCCCGGAATGCCACCACAGTGAGATTCACAGGTGCCACAGGCTGGTGTATCACTTATTCTACAGAGAATAAACGGAAGGGAGAGGGAGGGAGTCCTTCAGAGAAAGACTAGAGAGAAAGCCGCCTTATAGGGATGGCGCACAGGGTTACCAACAGTTGCTTCAAGTGTGCTTCCATGGCGTTGTTCTGTTTCCACCCCTGCTATAGAAGCATTGTCTTCTCTGGATGTCAGAAACAATGATTGAGTCCAATAAAAATCCCAGACATACCAACCTAACATTTGATGTTGTTTGTTTCTGCTCTGCCTGAACTCTGTGGTTCTCTTGTGAAAGAGAATTTGATGAAGGAAGTGATACGTGACTATAAATAATGTAGATAATAGAGATACAATGTTAATCCAGATGAGCATTTAACATACTTAATAACTGTGTGGTTGGTTAGAAATAGTTGTTGATTCTATTTAAGTGTATCTCTCAGCATAAATGATAAACTTTTCCATGAAATAGTTTTGTCCCTCCATTGGGACAGAACCTCAAGCATAGGAAAATTCTATTATTATATACAAGCATAATTTTGGAGTTGTGTTTTTCTTAATGAAAATTTTCTACTTCATGCCTTCCATATGGCATCCATATAGTTCTTTAAAGCTTTGAGGAAATGTATCTTTCCAACTATTTCTGTGTTTTCTATTTGGAATCTTAAATTGCCTATTGATTTATATAAGCCACATCTCAAGCTTGACTTTGTAGTCCCACTTGTGATTTCCATGCTTATGACTTATTTTAAATTTACCATTGTGTGTGTGTTTTGGAATCTACCTTAACTTCTATGTAATTAAACAATATATAATGTATGACATCTCCCCAAATCAACAAATACATAAATTTATTAGGAAAAGAAAATGTGGAGTTTATGGAATTCACTGTAACTTGACATCTGATTTTCAAAGCTGTATATTAAATATTTTCTTCTGCTTTAATTTTTTTTTTTAATTAAAGGGTATTACTGCCTTTCCTATATGTGAAGATCTAATGGAATGGGGAGCCGATATTGAAGGTCTACAGAATACATTTTGGCATGGTTTGTGTTTTCAAAACCAATTTACTTTTTTAAGTCTTTATACCATTATTAGCTTATCTTCTTTACATGTATAATAAGGTTACAATATATAAATTCTCTAGAATTCTAAAGGTATTCACATGTTGTTTTTTCATCATGTGGCTTAATTTCTTGCCATTTGTTAATGTAGATGGGAATTTTAGATTTGAAATTTTTTATGCCAAATTTTAATGTTATTACACTTTTAAGAAGCAGAAACAATAAAGCACATCATTTGGGAATAACATATAAGTTTTCTATGAAATCAGAGAAGAGCTATCAAAATTCCTACTTGCATAAAAATCCCAGTTACCTCTCGTTTTTTTCCTCCATGATTTTTCCCAAAATTTTCATAAATCAAATTCTCAAGAAGACTGGGCTACTATAACCTTTAATGACCATACACTCTTTCTTTATGGATTAACAAAATAGAGTTGTTGAGTGAAGTAGGGGAGAAAAACATAAGTGGCTAATTATAATAAAATCTAATATGTGCTATTAATGGATCTTGAATGAAATGCTGAGAAGACAGTGATTAGTTAATTTTGCCTTGGAAGGTCAGGAATGCCTGTCTTCTCAAGGAAGTGACATTTGAGTTGAATCCTGAGGAATGGGTAAGTTTGTCAGGTTTAGAAGGAGGGGGAGGAAATTCAGTCTGAGTTAACAGCATGGTAAAAGCTTATAAACAAGAAGACAGTTCTAGAACAGTGAGTTCAGTAAATATGAGCCAAACAGTGAAAGGGGCAGGTGTTAGGAGGTGGAAAGGACTGGGGGGAAACAGGTTGAAAACACAGTGGAATTAGATTGTGAGGAGACTGTCTTTTTTCCACTCTATATTTTTTCCTGCTTTGTCGAAGATTATTTGACCATAGAGTTGAGGGTCCATATTGGGGCTCTCTACTCTGTTTCACTGGTCTATGTGTCTGTTTTTATGCCAGTGCCATGCTGTCTTGGTGATCACAGCTTTGTAGTAAAGCTTGAAATCAGGCAACGTGATGCTGCCAGTTTTGTTTTTCCTTTTCAATATTTCCTTAGCAATTCCGTGTCTCTTCTGATTCCATACAAATTTTAGGATTATTTTCTCCAGCTCTTTGAAAAATACCAGTGGAATTTTGATCGGAATGGCTAAAAGTATAGATTGCTCTAGGCAGTATAGACATTTTAACAATGTTTATTCTTCTGATCCAAGAGCATGGAATGGTCTTCCATCTTTTTGTGTCTTCTTCAATTTCTTTCATGAGAATTCTGTAGTTCCTCGAGTACAGATCCCTTACCTCTTTGGTTAGGTTTATTCCCAGATATCTTATGGTTCTTGGTGCTATAGTAAATGGAATCGATTCTCTAATTTCCCTTTCTGTGTTTTCATTGTTAGTGTATAAGAAAGCCACTGATTTCTGTACATTGACTTTGTATCCTGCTACATTACTGAATTGCTGTATGAGTTCTAGTGGTTTGGGGGTGGAGTCTTTTGGGTTTTCCATATAAAGTATCATGTCATCTGCAAAGAGAGTTTGACTTCTTCATTGCCAATTTGGATACCTTTTATTTCTCTTTGTTTTCTGATTGCTGTTGCTAGGACTTCTAATACTATGTTGAACAAGAGTGGTGAGAGTGGGAGATGGAGAGGAGAAGGGAGTTGAGGGAAATTGGAGGGGGAGATGAACCATGAGAGACTATGGACTCTGAAAAACAATCTGAGGGTTTTGAAGGGGCGGGGGGGTGGGAGGTTGGGGGAGCCTGGTGGTGGGTATTATGGAGGGCACGTATTGCATAAACAATGAATTCTGTTGCACTGAAAAGAAATTAAATTTTAAAAATGGGGGGTAAAAAGATTATGAGCAGACTGTTAGACTATCTAGAGGACTCTATGTACCGTATGATCCAATTTACTTCTAAAACTCTAGGGACCTCGAGGAGTCTAAGCTAAAGAGAAACATCAGATTTTAATTAATCAATACAACATTACACTTTAGCAAAAATGTTTGTTTCTTTATTATAGGATTATTCTTCCAACTGACAATAAACTTTACATCACAGTACAATTGTGTGCCTCCTGTTGTGAAATTCCTAACAATTCCTTTTCATCCAAATGGTAAGCACCAAATGAAATTTTTATCATTGGGGCTCCGTTCCTATTATCCTTGTTCCTTATAAGTGTTTGATAATGTTTCTAAAAACTTTGTTATGGTTATATTTAGTAAGCATGCCTATTGGGGAAAATACAAAAAGGCAGAAAAATGTTATCACTTTGAATCGTAATTCAGAGAGCTATTCCTCTCAACATATAAATAAATTTATTTGCTTTTTACTATGTATATATTTCTTCTACATAGTTGAAGTATTACATATGAAGTTTATAAAATGACTTTTTTTTAAGATTTTATTTTTTTATTTGACAGAGAGAGGGAGATCACAAGTAGGCAGAGAGGCAGGCAGAGATAAAGAGAGGAGGAAGCAGGCTCCCTGCTGAGCAGAGATCCTGATGCAGGCCTCCATCCCAGGACCCTGAGATCATGACCTGAGCCAAAGGCAGAAGCTTAACCCACTGAGCCACCCAGGCACCCTAAAATGACATGTTTATTTCTGGATTATTAAACATTCTTCAAAAGCTCAGTTTTAATGACTAAATGATAAACTTAACTATTCTTATATTCAATATTCTCATTGGACCTGATTTTTTATTATCATAAAAAATAATGCACTGACAAATTAACATTTTAGAAAGAAATGAGTTAGATTGCTATTCAAGTTAATACACAAAATGAATTCTTGATATATCAAAAAGTCTAAAACTTTTAAATACTAAAAAGAAAATCAAAGAGAATTTTTAATCAGCTTGGTGAGGAAAGCTTTTCTAAATATGATAAAACCTATAAACTGAAAAAAGCATGACACATTAAACTACATAAACTTTTTTTTAAGATTTTATGTAATTATATGATAGAGAGCACAAGTAGGCAGAGAGGTAGGCAGAGAGAGAGGGGGGAAGCAGGCTCCCTGCTGAGCAGAGAGCCCAATGTGGGGCTTGATCCCAGGACCCTGAGATCATGACCTGAGCTGAAGGCCACCCAGGCACCCCTAAAGTACATAAACTTTTTAAAACTTCTCTACAGCCAACAATGTGATAAACAGAGACAAAATATGTTGACTTTTGCAAACCAAGGTATAATAATTGCAATGTGTAAAACAGAATATCTACAACATATAAAGAACACTTAAAAATCACTAAGAAAGGGACGCCTGGGTGGCTCAGTTGGTTAAGCAGCTGCCTTCGGCTCAGGTCATGATCCCAGCGTCCTGGGATCGAGTCCCACATCGGGCTCCTTGCTCCTCAGGGAGCCTGCTTCTCCCTCTGCCTGCCATTCTGTCTGCCTGTGCTTGCTCTCTCTCCCTCTCTCTCTCTGACAAATAAATAAAAATAAAAAATCTTAAAAATAAAAAAAAAAAAAAAAAAAAATCACTAAGAAAAATATAAAGCAATAGAAAAACAGACAAAGGTTATAAACAAACACTTGATAGAGGAAACATAACAAAAATAAACATAAAAAGATGTTCAGCTTCACTAGTAAGAAAATAAATGCATATTAAAACAAGAATTTATGATTCATTGCTTATGCTTACAAAATGTTAAAAATTTATCCAGTTTTAGTAGGGATGGGTGGGTTTAGTAGGTGGGTGGGTTTTCTGATATGATGACCTCAGTGTGACATTTCTGGAAAGCAGTTTGATAGTTTCTAATCAGCTATAAAAGGCAAATAGCCCTAAATCCCTGTAGTACCATGTTTATAAATTATTCCATAGAAATACTAGCACAGGTATGGAAGAGTATGTATACTATTTAAAGGTGTTTGTTCCCAGTAATGATGTTGGAAATAGGGAAAAGGGGAATAATCCCAGTGTCTGTTAATATAGGAATTTTTAAGTAAAATATCTTACTGCTGTGTACATAACAAGGAAGAAATAAAAAGCTAGACTTTTTGGTCACTACTATTCCTAGAATATTCACTACCTGGCACATAGCTGGTACTCAAATATATTTTCATAAACATGTCCAGAAATATGTTGGTAATTTACTATTAAATGAAAAAAAACCTTCAAAGAATAACACATAAGATATAATTCCATTTTTTTAAAGATTTTTTTTTTTTTTATTTGACAGACAGAGATCACAAGTAGGCAGAGAGGCAGGCAGAGAGAGAGGAGGAAGCAGGCTCCCTGCCGAGCAGAGAGCCCGATGTGGGGCTCAATCCCAGGACCCTAGGATCATGACCTGAGCCGAAGGCAGAGGCTTTAACCCACTGAGCCACCCAGGCACCCCAAGATATAATTCCATTTAATTAGAAAAACTACATAAACAGTCACACACACACACACACACACACACACACGTGTATATGTACATTTGTATAGACCAACTGGTGGATTTTTTTAAAAGATTTAATTTATTTATTTTGGAGAGAGAGAACACATGTATGCATGTGCACACAGACGGGGAGGGGCAGGGGGAGAGGGAGAAAGAGATCTCTAAAGCAGATTCCATGCTGAGCACAGAGCCTGATGTAGGGATTGATTTCAAGACCCTGAAATCATGACCTGAGCCAAAACCGAGAGTCAGGTGCTTAACTGACTGAGCCACCCAGGTGCCCCTAGACCAACTGGTAATAACTCTAAAGAGTGGTATTAGTAGACAAGGAAGCTTTCATATTTTACTTTATATACTTTTATGTACTTTTTTCCAAGTACATTATTACTTTGTAATTAAAACCTATTTTAAGGGATAAAATTAAATTTATGGTACATAATTCATTGTGTACATTTGCTATTATTTGTTTAACATAAACATAAGTGGAATTACTGGTTAAATGTCGTGAGGGGGGGCGTTGGTGTTCTTATACCCTACTCCTCACATCTTCCATTTCCGGAATAAAAAGAACCTCTGTCTCTAGGAGGAAAAGTAGAGGAAACTTGTGATTGCTCTTCTTTCCCTCCCTCACTCCTTGAGTGACTTACCTATTGGAAAAATAGGGAATAAAAATTGAACACGTGTGGCTCAGCACTTTCTCAACACTTTCTTTCCAGTTTCAACCAGTTTTCCTTCAAAATGGGTGCCCTCTTGCTTTCTCCAGGGTGGAGACAGGCAAGCCTTCAGTTTGGGTGTTAAGTTCAAATCAGGGCGTTTTTGTGGAGCTCAAGTAAAGCCATTGATCACATGCATTCTCCATTTCAGTCTTACCTATGGTAGAGTTGGTGTTTTACTTCCATCTTTCAACAGTTAGGTCTGTTTCATTATATATGCGCTTGGGAGGAGGGGAGTGTTATTTATTAGCCCCAAACTCCAAAGGATGGCTCTGTATGGTTCTAAGTCTTTAGATACGTAAAGCCAAGTTGCCTTTCGGGATGTTATTTACACTTCCACCAATAACTGTGTATAAAGTCCTCATTTTAGCACTCCAAATCTGGGCATTGAAACTTCAGAAACATTTTTTTCCAATTTCATAGGAATGTCGCTGTTATTTTAATAAGCACTTCTTTGAATACTTGTGAGTTGAACATTTTTTTCATGTCTGTTGATTTTGTGAACCGTCAGACTTAACAATGTTATTATATTGTATTAGATATTGCAAATATTTCCCTTTGTCACTAATTTTTAAATTTTTCTTATGCTGGTCTTCTTATATCTGGGATTTAAAAATTTTTATGTAGTCTTATCCTTTGAGATTTTTGCAGTTACCTTTAAACATAGATGATCCTTTCCCTAAACAAAATCAAATCATCATTTTAATTTTTTCAGTTATTCCATAGCCTTATTTTTCATATTTAACTCCATTCTTTTTTTTAAATAGTGATTTAATTAATTTGTTAGGGCATAGGCCAAGCTTCTCTATATCTTTCCAATCTGTGTATAACAGAACAAAGCTGGCAGGGTGGTTTCACCATCCTCAATGTGCAAGTGACATTTCTGGATGTAAGACTTTTACTATGGGACCGTTTCCAGACAGTGGGAAGGGAAAAAAGATAAAGAGGGCAAGACAGCTTCCTTCAGGAAGTATGACCTAGAAGTTGCATGCTTTCTTTCTGCTGATATCCCACAATTACAACTTAGTTACATGGCCACATCTTGCTGGGGAAAATATGGGCAACCATGTATTTATCTAAAACCACACATAGGGTGGAGACAGGGGCAGGCATAGTGCTCCTTATTCCAGAAGAGATGGAAGGAAGGAAGCCTAAATACCAAAGGATAATGAGTAATTTGCACAGCACTTGTTAATGCCATTGGTTGATAATCTTCTTTTGCTGCTGAGTCATAATTGCACTTTTAATATACAACAATTTTAATACATATTAGGATTTGTTTCTAAAGGCTCTTATCACATTAATCTCATGTCCCACCCTGTGGTTCTAATTATTGTAGTTTTATAGTACAGTGTCAAATCGAACACCTCTCTTCTTACCTTTTAAAAATTTCTTCTCAGTTCATAACTTTTTATTGCGAGATTTTTCTGTTAGAGTAGAAATGTTTCTCTTAGTCATTTACAAAAGCTTTTTTTATACATTAGTAAGACTATTATTGATAATGATAATCTGTCATTTGGGGGGATTTGCTACACGTCAGGTACTCTATTAAGTACTTTATTTTTTAATTCTTTTCAGTGAAGGAAGGTACTTTTATGATATCCCCATTTCACAATTTAGGAAAATGAGACCTACAGAGGTAAAGTTAAATTGTTCAACATAGCAGAGCTGACAGGTGGGGGAGTCAACATGCAGATCTACGTGTGTCTGAACCAAAGTCCATGCTTTTAACAGCTACACTCTATCAGCTGTCGGTCACATTCATTGAAGATAGTTTTTCTGCTTTGTCTTTTGCTTTCTGATTTTGCCTGTGCTATTTTGATGTTCATAAATTTTAAATAATAATTGTATTATATGTGTCAATATTCATGTATTACTTTAATACAGTAGACCAAAATACTGGTCGGGCCTGTATAGATTTTTTGGACGACCCCAATAAGTGGAATACAAGCTATACTTTGAGCAGCATCTTACTAACCCTCCAGGTAAGAACAGATTAATATAATGGTCTCTTTAATACTTTCAGTTATCCCAGTTATTAAAAATGTAAGGAATGGGATGTGCAATGAATATTTAAATGATTGAAGGATTTGAGTAAACTTATTTAAATCAACAGCATTTTATGCCAAGGCTATAAAGTGGAACTTATAAAGATTATTGTTTTAAAGTGAAATTGATAGTTAATGCCCTTTACAGTGAAGGAATATTTATTTTATTTTAAAAAGAACTTTATGATTTCAATTATAGAAATTTAGTCTCAACTTTTCTTTTGGCTTCTATCTTTATAATACTGGATATGATCTTTCCTCATTCATGAATCTTGCCTTCCTCAGAAAGGGGAATCAGATGACTACAACTTAAAATATTCAGCTTTATTCTTTGTTTCTGACAGTGCTAGCTACTTGCTCTTTTATAAACTTTCATATCAAATCCAATGAATTATTCTTTAATTCACTCATTAAGGCAGAGATTTTTTTCCTCCCTGCAGACTGAGGCCTGTTTCTGGAATGGCCCTTTGCCCCCTTGATTCATGGTCCTTTGCCCCCTTGATTCATGGTCCTTAGAAGCATGCCTCAGTGTTCTGTTATTTCTGACCCTCAAAAAAAACCCTCCTTTCTCAACTGGTGCTAAAATAAATTATTTCAGTGCCACTTGCTTTGACCACCTATAATCAGGCTCAGCGATGTTTCCGTGGACCTACTCATTATTAATAATATCTGAAGATAAACTTTTAAATTTTTGTTATTTGGAATACTTACAGAATGAAATATTCTGACTTAATTGAATTCTCTCAATCACATAGAATTATAATACAATTCTGTTTTCTTATTTTTTTAAAAAAAATTCTGTCTAGTCATCTTAGTATACTGAGAAAAGCAATCTTTATTAGAGATTAAATGATCAAAGTTATTTCATTCACTCTACAAATATGTATTGTCCACGTGCCTGAGCTAGGCCATGTTTGGGGAGAGACATTTGAGCAAAAACTGTAAAGAATTGAGCAAATATCTGAAGTTGATCTTTTTGATTCCTTCAAACTGAGTCATATTCCCATCTCTTCTACCTGAATTGGGATCTTCCTTAAGAATAATAAAACTGTGGGGCACCTGGGTGGCTCAGTGGGTTAAAGCCTCTGCCTTCAGCTCAGGTCATGATCCCAGGGTCCTGGAATCGAGTCCTGCATCGGGCTCTCTGCTCGGCAGGGAGCCTGCTTCCCCCTCTCTCTCTGTCTGCCTCTCTGCCTACTTGTGATCTGTCAAATAAAAAAAAAAAAATAGCAAAACTGTTGGGCCCCTGGGTGGCTCAGTGGGTTAAGCATCTAACTCTTGATTAGGGCTTATAAGGGTCATGATCTCATTGTGGTGAGATGGAGCCCCACATCAGGCTCTGTGCTCAGCAGGGAGTTTGCTTGAGATTCCCTCTCTTCTCTCCCTCTCCCCCTACCCAACCCCCTTGCACGCATGTACATGCTCTCTCAGATAAATAAATCTTACAAAAAAAAAAAGGAATAGTAAAACAATGTGTTGAGGCTCAGCAGGGAGTCTGCTTGGAATTCTCTCTCTCCTCCCACTGCCCCTCTCCCAACCCCATTAATACAACTCATCCAGAGCATGCTCTCTCTCTAAAAAAATGGGGGAAAAATGGAAAGGAAAAGAAAATCACTGATAGTCATAAAGAAAAACCTGAACCCTACTGTGATTACCATTTCCCTCTCATGTTTTCTCCCATGTTTTTGTTCAAAATCTTGTTTTAAAAAAGTTGCACATTCACTGCAGGGTTAGCCTCAGTTCTATCGCCTGACAAAGAATCTACTTGTTCTCACACCTGGGCTTCAGACTCTCCCTAACAGCACTGTGGATCCCCACTCCTATTATATCTTCATGCTGTTCTTCACTCACTGTGTTTGGTTCAATTCAGTTTATAAAACATTTATAGAGGGTCGCCTAGGTCATGATCTCAGGGTCCTGGGATCAAGCTCCACATCTGGCTTCCGGCTCAGCAGAGAGTCTGCTTCTCCCCCTCCCTCTACCTCTCTCCCTGCTCATGCTCTCTCTGTGTCTCAAGTGAATAAATAAAATCTTTTTAAAAAATCGTAATAGAGTTCTCAATTCTAAAGTTACAAACCCAAGCAAGTCTTCAACCTTAAAAAGTGCTCAGTCCACTTTCTGGTTGGCAATCCATTTTCTCCTTCCCTCTTGCTCAGTCTGGGAAGCAGCTGCATACATTGGAAGAGTCAGGGCCAAGGAGTCCTCCATTGGGATGCCTTTCCTGACCTTTTTCAGAGGTAGAATGGATGCCTTTGGTGTTTGAGGGATTTCTTTTGTCTCCCACCCACTTAGTGGTACTCCAGGCAAATTTCTATCAGAGGACTGTAATACTGTAATGCACATACTGTTTTCTTACCTGCCTTCCCCTATTAGACGACAAGCTCCTCAAGGTCAGAGAACAGGTACAATTCATCTCTGATTCCCCAGTACCTACCTAGAACAATGATGACAGTAGATGTTAAGTAACATGAATAAAAGAATGAACCTGAATTTTTTACATTGTTCCAAAATATGGTTTATATGTATAAATTATTTGACCTATTTATTTTCCACTTATCATTTTATCTCAAGTAATTTTCATATTGCTGCAGTTAATATTTTAATGATTATTTAATACTCCTTTCAAGGTCATGCTGCCCAGTAGAACTTGCTACACTGATAGAAATGTCTAATATCTGCAATGTCCAATATAGTAGGCACTAGCCACTAGCTACTGGCTAGTGTAACTGAGGAGAACTGGGTTTTTCATTTATTTTGTTTAATTTCAATTTAAATAATCACATATGGCTGATACCTGCTATAATGGACAGTGCACAGGCAGACCATAATTTCTGAATATTTCCCTTTGAACAACAGATGAAACATATGTATAATTATCACATTGTTATTCAAGGGAGTGGCATTTGAAATAGTGTTTAAAATATTTTAGTCTAAATATACTAATCATCTCCTCCTAAAATTTTTATAATCTTATAAAAGATTATAAGAACACTTGTACTTCAGTATATAGTGGAAAGGTAAATAGCAACACCATCCATAAAAGGAATTCCAAATATGGGCTTTAACTAATTGGAAATTACAAATTGTACCTACTGGTGCAGTTTTATACTGATGCTCCAGTTTTTTGTCCTTGTCCTCTGGAAAGCTGCTTATGTTGTTCCAGACTGTCACATGGCTAATTTAAAGTTGGACCTTGGGACACCTGGGTGGCTCAGTCAGTTAAGTATCTGCCTTCAGTTCAGGTCATGATCCCAGGATTCTAGGATCAAGTCCCACATCAGGCTCTCTGCTCACTTACTATAGAGCCTGCTTCTCCCTTTGTCCCTCCCCCTGCTTCTGTGCGCACTCGCTCACTCTCTCTCTCTTTCTCTCTGACAAATAAAGTTAAGTATTTAAAAAGATAAAAGTACCTTTTCTTTTTACCATTTTAGTAGGGTGTCTGATTCATTTTAATATATTTAAGTTCTTAAAAATCATTAAGTATACTTAGTAGCTTGTATAAACATAATATGAAAAGGTCTTAGACATAGTGTCAATGCAAAGACTATTGAATAAACTTTACCAGATGTGCCTCTCTGAGTAGGATTATCACTCCAGCCAAAGACTAAAGCTTACTCTTGAAGATAAGTTTCATCTGCTTCCTGCCCGCTTTGAGAGATATAGTGCAATCCACACTGAATCCTTATTTAAGCAACTTAGAATGTGTTTTCCAAACAGAAAAACTCAATTAACAGCAGTAAATTCTTATTGCCTTTGAAATATCAAATATCAGATTATTGCTTTCATTAGTGATGACTGCCATCATTTCTATGACACTTAAGTCACAGTTATCCACTTTGACCTTCATCTACACTTAGGTATTCTGGTAGTTATTATTTGGGGTATATTTTATTATCTAGTTTGTGTATTATAATATTCAAAATACTGAAATTATTGAACAAATACTTGCAGTTTGGGAAAATAATAGTTTTGAGATACTAGATAAACAAGATTATGGTTTATCAGAACTATTAAGTTTTGGTTACTACTGGTCCCCTATTTTGTCCAGATGCACATATACTCTAGCAGGCAGAATTTTATTTTATTTTAAGATTTTATTTATTTGAGAGAGAGAGAGCACGAGCAGGGGAAGGGGCAGAAGCAGATTCCCTGCTGAGTGAGGAGCCTGATGCAGGGCTCAATCCCAGGACCCCAGGGTCATGACCCAAGCCAAAGACAGATGCTTAACCGACTGAATCACCCAGACAGCAGGCAGAATTTTAAAGATATCTCTCCAAGACTCCCATCCTCTGGTTATTTAATCTAATCTACATACTGCTGTAAAAGGGTTTTGCAGATGGAATTATGGGAAGGTTATCCTGAACTATACAGGTGTACAAAGTAATTATATGACCCCTTAACAATAGAAGAGGAAGGTGGAAAGAGTGGAAAGAGAATGGCTGTAGCAGGAGGGAACATCAGAGAGATTCCAAGCGTAAGAAAGATTTTTCAACCCTTCACTGCTCTGAAATATAAGGGTCCAGGTGTAATTTGCAAGAGACCTCTTGGAGCTAAGGATAGCCCCAGGCTAACAGCCAGCAAAGAAACAGGGACTTCAGTCCTACAAATGCAAGGGACTGAATTCAGCTTACAGACAACATGAATGAGGTTGGAAACAGACTCTTTCAGAATCACTGATAAGAGCCCAATCGGCTGACACTTTGATTTTAGTCTTACTAAATCTGGAAAAGAGAAACCAGACTGACCACCCCAGACTTGCCACCTACAGAAATGTGAGACAATGAATTTGTATTATTTTAAGCTGCTAAATTTGTGTTAGTCACAGCAATAGAAAACTGTAGATACCAAATTCATTCAATGTTCTGGAGAGATGTATACACAGTATACACAGCCTTATTACATACGTTTGTTTTATCCATGACCTAAATATGATCTTGTGTTAAAAATTAAACTTGTTTTTTAATGGAAATGTTTCACCGTTTCCTAATGTTTAGTTTCCTTTCTATATAAATTGAATTTAAGTTCACATGATAGAAAGGAATAGCGTAGAGGAAGGAACTTGTAACTTGCTTTGATCCCAGTGTTTGGCTCATGAATGTGCAGAATAACACCAAGATAGACAGAGTTTCTTGAGAGTAGGGTTTATATATCATTTGTCTTTGTGTCTGTCTCCAAATGGATACATAGTAGCCATGCAATAAATGCTTGTTACTGTTGTATGTGTTGGCTTGTCTTTTTACTCTAGCAAAAGAGTTTACTTTAAAAACTTTAAGTTTTATTTTTTTTTCTATAGGTTATGCTTTCTAATCCAGTGCTAGAAAATCCAGTGAATTTGGAAGCAGCCCAAATGCTGATTAAAGATGAATCTCTGTATAAACAAGTAGTTCTAAGACTTTTCAACCAACCATCACAATGTAAGAGGTGCTTTTTTATTTTTTTTGTCAATTATTAGTTATGCATTTATAGCAAATAAATGACCTAACAAGTAACTATTATAAAAGGGACTATTTTCTGTATCCATTCAAGTAATGAAATCATACTAGTATTTCTCCTGTTGTACCTCTTTTTCAAGCCAGTCAGTTATCACAAAGTCAATCAAAAAGTGGTTCTTCTTTAAAGATTATCAGTGATCATAAGCTTAGTATTTTTAAATGTTATGGTCATATGGATGGGTGGTGCTGACTTATTTCCCCATCATAAAGATACGACATCTGATTTTAACCCTTTGATCTATAATGGATATTTCCCAGATTTCCCCTGCAGGACCCCAGATCTTACTGAACAGGGACTCCTTTCCTTTTGCTTAACAAAATGTTCAGCTTTTTGTTCTGAAGAGTTCACCCCCAAGATATTCCTTCTAAGAGTCCATGTGGAAATGACATCTGAGGCTCTTCAGTCTTTCTGCTTTACTGATCAATGCTTTTTTTTTTTTTTCTTTCGATACCCTTGTTTTGCTCTCTCTTATCCTGCCAGTGACCTCTTCATGACTTAGTCCAGTGTCTCTACTGCTTCTGTGTGCTTTCTGCAGTTAGCAGGATAATGCTATTGGTTCCCTGTGCCCAGAGGCATTCATCACAAATGAGGGTTGGGGCCCTAGTGACCCATAGTTCTTTCCTCTCTATCCTGCCCTCCTCCTAGCCATGCACAGCAGCCAGGCATAGTAGCTATTATTGTTATTTCCCTAATAGCAAGCCCTGCTGTTCAGACTCATTCTGCCAAACTCATCTCTCATGTGCTTTTTCTTCAGATGTCCCCTGTTTCTTTTTCCAGTCCCCTTCCAGGGCCTGCCAGTCCATTATCTAGGGCTGTACAGTTGTGACCAAGTTCAAGTGCTCCTCCACAGAGCTTTGCATTTGATGGAAATCAAGCAGTGTTGATCAGGTATCCCTTTTGGTAACTTCAAACATGTCATGATTGTCTTGGAGTCCCTCAAACATTCCCTGACAGTTGTGAAGCTGGTTTGTGCACAGAGGAATCCTATTGCTTCATTCTGACCACATTTCTGACCTCCCAGAATACTGTAGCATCCACTACTGTGTCCTCTGTGCTCAGTTGCTATTTGTAGAATGAATGAATGAACAATTTATATCACTTAACCCTTCATTGAGCCCTGCAGTACTATCATCATAAAGAACTATTCTATAGCAAAGCTATATTCATAGTCTGGCAAGTGGAAATTTAAAACCTTGTTTTAAAGGATTGTCTATAGGAAATGATTCTGTGCAATAGATTTTGGGTTTAGCATGCCAAAAGGAAGGATGAGAAAGAAACTGAAGAGAAGTCAGCCCTTCCTTTGTCCTCCTGCCTAGTAGATGCCATCCTTCACTCCTTCCGGTTCTCCAGTTGTACCATCAAGTCAGACAGAAAAGCTGCCCCAACTGCCAAATCATCCGACAGATGAACAAGAGCAAATAGTAGTTTGGCAGGTTTTCACTACATTCTTTAGTTATGGTGGTGAAATATGTGGAAATCCAAAACAGCGGTTATCAGCCTGCTTGCCGTCTCAGCCGGACTAGGAGTGGTAGCCTCGGGTGCCATGAAGAGAGTGACTTCCTGCAGCTTCCAAGGGAAGGAGTGTCCATGATACAGCAGGCGCAACTGCTCAGGGGGCAGGGGAGAAGTTGCAGAAAATGCGTGTACCCTAAATTAGATGGTAGTCTACAACTGTGGATTTCTGTGAGAAAATTGCATCCAGTGAGAATTACTTGTAACAACTTGAAAAAAGGTCTCACTAGAATGCTGCAAGAATCATCCTTCATATAATTTCAAAATGTTAACAAAGAGTTCTAGAAAAAGCATAAAGGAAATTACCACCTTTTTAGATAACACAAAACTGGAACAGATAGTTAATTGTATAAATGAGAAACTCAAGAGGCAGTGAACTATCATCTCTGTAGGCATCGATTATAGACCAGAACTATGTCCTCAGGGTAGTGTCTGGTTGTAGGCACTGAATAAAAATTTATAGAATTTATTTATAGAATGACCAAATGAAAAAAATCTGTAAACTTAGATCCTGATTTTACGTCCTAGTTTACACAAGGCTTTCACATACATTTATTCATCTGATCCTCAGCTCCTTCCTCAGTAGGAAGTGGTTGGCTCGAGGCCACAGAGAGCAAGCTGTAGAACCAGAATGTCAACCTAGGCATTGCCCTTCCCTGTGCCTCCATATTTAATGGGATGAGCATAAAGTCATTCATTTGGGATCAGAGGATTAAAATCTCCAAGTAAAGAATGGGAGAGGCCTGACTTGATAGCAGAACTCTATGAAACAATTCTTGCAGAGCTATTTGATCACCAACTTAATGTTATCAACTCATAGAAAGTGCCATTCCACGGAGCATGCGTGTTTCCGGTAATTCTGCCCTGCTATGATGTGCTGGGCCTTCACCTGGAACACCGGCTTGCTCAGTGTGGAGCATCACGTTTCCTGAGCTGAAGAAACCATGTATGTTCAGCGAGTGGAAGAAATGACCCCAAGGCACTTGTAAAAGCTGTTTTCAAATATTTGAAGGACTTTCATATAGAAAAGGGCAATTTCTTCTGTTGTCTCAAAAAACCTGACATAGCTACAATCAGCTGCACCTTCTCCAGGCCTACTAGGTTGTAGCCACTATAGTCCAGAATCCGCAGGCTTAGCCCTGCCTTGTGCTAGAACCTATCTTGACTATACAGGGGTCTTTTCCCTCATCATCAGTGGTCTGGAATTAATTTTGTTACCCTAAGCCTGAGTCCAGTGTTTGGTATGCAGACATGCAAATGCCTCTCATCCTCAAACATTCCATAATGTGGTGTTTGCCTATCTTGAGCAGCTAGGTCTTCTCGACCTTGGTGTTTTGACAAGAACACGCCAAGCTCTGAGCTCAACCCAGCTGGTGGAGGTCCCGATGACCTTCCCAAATCCTGTCATCTTCTTTTGGACCTGGACCCCTCTCCCTTACTGATAGTGAGGGTGCTCACATATACCAGACTGCCTGGGACAGCCCCGAGATAATTATTTCTAGCACACCCTTTGACGCTGTGCTCCAGTTTGCACAAAAAAATCACAAAATCCGTTGGGTGCCTGATTGATCTGTCCTATAAGCAAACACTATAGTAGTTACAACATCCCTGGTGGTAATGCCCATCCAGGTCCCAGCTCGCCAAACAGGAAGAAGAATTTTCTAAAAATTCAAGTTGCTTAAGAATTGAGAAGGTCGGGGCAACTGTGTGGCTCAGTCATTATGTGTCTGCCTTTGGCTTGGGTCCTGATCCCAGGGTCCTGGGATCGAGCCCCGAGTCACATGGAGCTCCCTGCTGGGCGGGAAGCCTGTTTCTCCCTCTCCCACTATCCCTGCTTGTGTTCCCTCTCTCGCTGTGTCTCCGTCTGTCAAATAAATAAATAAAATCTTAAAGAAAAGGCATTGAGAAGGCTTGGGGCACCTGGGTGGCTCAGTGGATTAAGCCTCTGCCATTGGCTCAGATCATGTTCTCGGGGTCCTGGAATGGAGCCCTGGGTCAGTCTCCCTGCTACTCAGGGAAACTGCTTCTCCCTTTCCCTCTGCCTGCTGTTCCCCGGGCTTGTGCTCTCTCTCTCTCTCTCTCTCTCTCACTCTCACTCTCCCTCTCTGTCAAATAAATGACTAATCTAAAATTTAAAAAATAAAGAGACGAGAAGGCTACCTTGGAAGGTAGTATCACTAACAGCCTGATTTGAGAACTGGTGTTCAGTTAGTCAAGTGTAAGAGCTCTTTTTCACAGATGTTATAAGAGAGCTTCTTGATCAGTGTCAGGAGCTGGGCTAGGGAATTTTTCAAATACTTTCCAATGTAGGCTTCAGCTTGTTTATAAAACTTGGAAGAAGGAGGCGAAAAGATCTGGAAGGAGATAACGCATAACTACTGTGTTGCATCTCAGCTTCTGAGTATTGGTACTTATTTTCTAATGTGTCACAAGGGATTTTATATAAGCCTATATGTCCTTTTTTACCCCAATCTGAGTGAATTTTTGTTTCTATGTGGTTATATAGTCAAAATTCATTTTGTTTATCATTTTTTTAAGGCATAAGGTTTATATAATCTTAAAAAAATCTTTGGTTGAAAGAAAATAAGAGTGTAAAAATGGTAAAACTCAGTAATAGTGGCCACACCTAACATAATATTTTTTTCTTTTAGCTAGGCATATTCCTGTAGCTTTTGTTAAATAAAAGAGTCATGCTAATGAGTTTCAGATACTTACCTGAATAAACTGTAATATAATAACTGACAGATATTATGACAGAATGATAATAATAATAGAGAGGAATTATAGAAATATCAGGGAGATTATAATACTAATTTACATTATATAGCTTTTAAACCTGGTCATTGTGCAAATAAATCCCATTCTTCTTGTGGTTAGGAAGATGTTGTGATAGGCATTTTGTTCCTTCTTCAGTCCAAGCGTCCAATTAGTTCATTGGGTTTTTTGTTTGTTTCCTCCTCCTAACAGTAGAACAATTTTAAAGAAAATTTTTTCTATGCTTAAAGTAGGTGATGACTCAGAGGATTTCTGGTTTTGTTTTGTTTTGTTTTTCTCTTTAGAGAGATTGCTTTTTGTTGTTAGGTATAGGAATACCCCTTCCCCTGGAAAATATACTTTCTGGATGTCAAAGGAAAACAAATTTAGTCCAATAGCACAGCTTGTGAAAGAACATGTGCTTTAGCACCATCATTCAGACCCAGTTTGGTTGTTGATGACTGCAGTGTTGTTTGTAGACAGCCTATTACGCACAGATGTGAGGAGATGTGGAGACCAAGTTTAACCGGATGGTGCATGTGGATCTACTTGGTGGGGTTACAAGCCTCTTTTTTTCCTGTTTGTATTTTGTTGTACCAGACAGTCCAGTAACTTTCAGCAAAGTATCTAGTTGGTAGTTTTAACTAAAAATATT